CGTTTAGTTTTAGTTAATCTCTGTAAATTCATTGTGAACGCATTCTGTACAATTTTTAATTTTTCTTTAAATATATAAAATATCTTAAATATTATAACTTAATTGTGATTATTTCCAATTTGAACTTTGATTTGTATTTTAATATATTGTGCTTTGGGTTACTTTTCATCGATTTTTTCTTAAAACTCCTTTTGCTGTTCGCTTGCACAATGATACAAATTTGTGAGCATTTTGCAATCGTATATCAAAAGGAGTTTCATTTTTTTATTGAATAAATTTGTTTTAAAGTAAAAGAAGGATGGATGGGGCAAGAATGGGTTTCGATACGTAGCAACGTGGTGAAACCAGGGCAATCATTGTTATTTGTGATACATTACTAATTAATTCCTGCAATACAATTATGAATTCTATAACAAATAATATAATCTAATCAGTTGCGATCACGATTTAGTTTCTATGTAATTAAAGGATTTGTTGAATTATTAGGGAGATCGTTGATTTCTAAAATTATAGATTGAATTTTTTTATAATAATGTATAATGCATTTGAAAATATTGTCGAAGACCGTAGACTTTAGATTTTGATGGATATTTTCAAAACATGTGATTTGATAAAATAATAGATCTTTTCTATGTTTTCTTTTTGATTAAATGTCAGGTCCATTCTAAATATATTTCCGTTATAAGTTGATTATCGTTTCCAACGAAAAACCAACCGATAAATTCGTAAAACACGAATAGCGCTCTTTCTAACACACACATAAATAGATAATAAAAAATGGAATATTATACACTAATCTCGTGTTTTAGAATCTGAAGATACAATTAAACATTTTGCTTGTATTACTTTACTTGGTATAGTCACAGACGAGCATTACATTTCGATATTGAAAGTTTGACAACACTGTAATGAATCTGAAAAATTATATTACTGGCGCATTCACTAATCTCTCACTGTTGTTTAAACGTAGAGTGCGGTAAAAAAAACCAGTAATTTTTTACTATGTCCGTATTTCAGGTCTCGAGCCACGAATCCCGTAAGATGCTTGGTCTATTCATGTATCTTGTCGGTAGTGCGACAAAATGCACAATTGGTCTTTCAGTCCACAAAATTCGATAAAACAGACAAATCTATACTGTTTTTCAAAATCACCTCTAGATGACGTGCACATCTTGTTCCAGTTGAGATTTATAGGGTATTATCAGAAACGTTGGCTAACCTGGTTACTTCAATAAATTTATGAAAATTATTAAATTAATTCTATATTACGATAATGTTAAGATAAGAAATTAAATAAAAAAAAAAATCATAATGGATTTTAATTCTTTTATCATTAATTTTATTTCTTTGATGATTAAAAATTAATGTAATGCAAAACAATAGAACGTTTTTAAATAAACCAAAGTATTAATTTGTATGCTCCTTTTCCCTTTTTCCATATATAATTTTTAATTTTCCATTTTCTAAATCCTATAAATTGAATAGAAGATACAAACGAATAATGACGCCTTCTTGCGGAACATTATAGAACTAAAATCAGCTGACCCTGTCTTCCAAGCGTCAAATGCGTATTTATAAATAGTGTACGTGCGAGTTCGTTGAAAGCTCAACTTACTTTTCAATAACCAAATATCAAAATGGTTGATATGAAAAGTAATGTGAATTTTACGTGCCAGCGATGTCTACAACCTCTCAGACTAGATCCGAGTTTTCAGCATCTTGAAGAACACGCGCTAGCAGAACTTTCACGTAGGTAATTTCTATTTCGAACTATATGACTCTGTAAGTTCTATTGCTTATTTTTACCCTTTTAAGAGGAAAAATGAGAACATTTTTTTCTCCCATTAATTGTATCTTTGAATTATGCTAGTCTATAATTTGTAGCTTACATATATATTGCAAGTTATTATATTCATCTGTTCAATTGTTTAAAACAATTGTTATGACATTAATATTTTATTTAAGTTGTTTATTTCAATATAGTTCCTATCCAACAACAAGTGGTGAATGATTTAGAGCATCAGAGTACAAGCATAGAACACTTAGTACCACCATTTAAATTGACTGAATCTGCAAATGGTACAAATGGGTTTATGTTAGTTGGAGATTCTGGAGAAACAGAAAGTTTAAGTCACCATTTAAAGGTACATAAATTTTAGTTATTAAATTAGTTAATAAAATGCGATCTTAGTTCTTGTTAGTTATCAGTGATATAAAATATATAAATTATTTGTTTAAGGTACGAGCAACATTATTTGATATTCTTAGCAGTAGTAGTTCTGCTGATCATCCACTTTGTGATGAATGTACGGATAGTCTTTTACTGTTAATGGATCAACAATTAAGAATGACTGAAGGAGAATGGTCAGACTATAATGAGTACTTAAAAAAGTTAGAAATAGAACAGCAACATCAAGGCCATGAAGATGTGGAAATGGAAACTCTCACAAAAGAATTACAGGATGTGAAGTCTGAAGAAGAGAGAATGATAAACGAATTGGAGGCATTAAGAAAAGAAGAAATTGCAACTAGAAATGCCATAGCTCAACAAGAAAGGGAAAGAGAAAGATTACAAAGTGAAGAAGAAAGGTATTGGAGAGAATATTCAAAACATAAGAGAGATCTCATATTAGCAGAAGATGAATACCGTAGGTAATAATGACATGTTGTTGCATTAAGTACATTTTTTGATATTTCTGTCTCATTAACAACAATAATTTTGTTTAGTTTGGAGTGTCAGTTAGCTTATGCTGCTTCACAACTAGAGAGACTGAAGAAAACAAATGTTTTCAATGCTACATTTCATATTTGGCACTCAGGACATTTTGGAACTATAAATTCTTTCCGGTTAGGTAGATTACCAAGTGCACCAGTAGATTGGAGCGAAATAAATGCTGCTTGGGGACAGACCACTTTGCTATTAACAGCTCTTGCTAGGAAAATGAATCTCACATTTAAACGTTTTCGTCTAGTGCCATTTGGTAATCACAGTTATATCGAAGCTTTAGATCAACACAGAGAACTACCACTATATGGAAGTGGAGGATTTAAATTCCTGTGGGACACAAAATTCGATGCAGCAATGGTAGCATTTCTCGATTGTTTGCAACAATTTAAGGAACAGGTGGAAAAGGGAGACAGTGGATTCTGTCTTCCATATAGAATGGATCGTGGAAAAATAGAAGATTCTGCAACAGGAAATTCTTATTCCATCAAGTAACTATTATTTATATTAATATGCTTTCCATGATTATATCTATTTGAATCATGCATTGCATGTTTTCTGTTTCAGAATTCAATTTAATTCAGAAGAACAGTGGACCAAGGCACTGAAATTTCTGTTAACTAATTTAAAATGGGGCCTTGCTTGGGTTAGTTCCCAGTTCACAAAAGATGAAGCTGAACATTAACTTCATATTGGTTTATGCAAATTCATCCATTCTTAATCACACATCTCTTTTACATTCTTTTATGTACATACACGTGTTATTTGTAAATAAATTCAATTAAAGGATAATTTTTTTTATTTAGAATCTGATTAATAATATAAAGATTTTAACTTAAGAACAATATTCAGGTTTGTTAGCTAAAAACCAGGTTATACCATACAGTAAACAAGGTGGACTTTCAACTTCTTCAGAATTGATGTACTGTTTTACTTCTGGAATGCTTAGTTCCACCACTTCGATCAGTTCCCCTTCAGATGCAGCACCCCCTCCTTTAATTTGACACATTACTCAGACTTGAGAAAAAGGAACGTAAGATTTTTTTCAAAGAAAAAGCTTTTTTAAAACTTGTATCATTAGCTTTAATATGATTTTAAAAATAGAGCAGTGTTAAAGACAATTATATTTATAATTAAGCTTACCAGGATGCTTATGCATTTCATCGGTAACTTCCACATAAAAGAGTGTATGTTTGCAGACTGAAGTGGAAACGTATCTATAATCCATAAGAAAACAAATAACTAAACATGACAAATTATTAACAATATATATTTATTATCAGTATTATTATTATTATTTCTAATATGGACAGACATTTTTATAGAGTTAAACATTTTTTATGTATGGACAAAATAAAATAATACATCCAGTCACAAAAATGTAAAATGACACACACATGTACACAGCCACAATGATATTTCACTTACACATTATTTTCTATATCACGAAATGAAGTACTAATAGCTTTTTAGTTTGCAACTTATACAATAAAATTTTAGCATTTCAATAAATTTGCCATTGACACACCTGAAAGTAATGACATATTTAAAGGCTTCTATAGGTGCTTCGTATCCACATTCTTCTTTTACTTCATCCTTCGCAATCTCGACAAATGACTTGTCTTTATCTACGATACCGGCGCAAAGTTCTAAGGTTAAACCCAATGACGGAGGGTATTGTTTAAGATTCACAGGACCAAGTTTCTCTGGCAGAAACGTATAATAAAACGCCGGGCGATATTGCCGAACAAATACGAGTTTCTTCCGGCTGATGTTGAAAATAATTATACTCACACCATCGTGTGCTCTTACCACATCCCAGTCTCTCTGTTCACCATCTTGTTGGTAACGTATTCGAACAGGTCTGATCCACGGTGAATCCGACGGACATTCCGTTATATGTAATTGTTGCACATCGAGCATTCTCTGACGGATATTTTCATTTTGCTTTTCTTGTGCCTTGATATCCATTTCTTGGCCGATATTCGATTTAATGCAACTATTTAACTCCCGTCGGTAAACACTTCGATGAACATGCGCACGCCAGATACCTGTAGATGCCGTACTCGACACTAAACTGAAATGCGCAGTCTCAAACTTGCATTGGAACTTGCAGTTACGTTCAAGAAATGTATATAAATCATTCCGCTATTTTTTACATCAGGTAAGATAAGAATAAATCAAGCGGTATTAATGTATTCTTGCAAACGTTCCTTATCACTGTTCCAAAAGTTTCAATCTGCTTTTTATTTTCCACCACTAGACGAGTTTCTCCGCTAACGATCATATACGTTTCTAATTTCACTATTTACCGTTACTTTTTAACCAAAATCTTTCTTCACTTTCTTTTCCCTTCTAGTTATTCTTCGGCTCTTTTTCTTAAAATCCTCTGTTTTGTACGCGTCTAGAATTTCCTGCTGACGCACTTGAGTATCAACGTGGATAACATCAGGTTTTTTACGAGGCCTGGTTACCGCCGCGGGAGGAGAGAATTCGATCTCCATGTCGGACGCGGTCGAGCTAGACGTGTCAGAAGCATCATCTTTGTTCTTCACGATCTTAAATTGCAGTGGTTTCATTGGCTCAGACAAACGAGGTTCGGTGGATGTTTCTTGCCTAATGGGATACATCGTTACGTAATAAGTGCCATCTTTCCTGTGAATATGTAATGTCGGCGGAGATTCCGGTCCTTCCTCTTCTCCCTCCATCTTTGATTGCTTCTGCATCGACTGGTAACTCATAGTCCTTCCGGTTCTCTGTCTTCTCGCGGTGCTCTTCGATCGCGAAGGTGCCGAGCGCGCGCGTTCCACCATTCTTCCTCGATCAATTTTTCCACGATCTATTTTTACGCGATCAATTCTTCCACGATCGACTCTTCCACGATCGATCCTTCCACGATCGGCTCTTCCGCGATCGGTTCGTCTACGTTCAGCTCGATCAATTCTTGCCTTTTCTTCTTCCAGTTCTTCAATGGAAATCTCCTTCGCGTCTTGCAACATTTCATACAAGTAGCGACCAATGGCACCCGGTCTCCAACCAATGCGCGGTTTCAACTTTGTCGCCGTGTCCATCGTGTTCCATAACCAGCCCATGTTAGCCGGGACTCTCATAGGTATGTCGATGCAGTTTCGATGACCAAAATGAATCCCAGGGTAATAATCACCGACGAAATAAACGTACCGCATTATCCGTCTGCTGACTGGAATCGGCGATTGCGAGGTAACAGTTGATTCAGGTACGTGGCGATCGCCACCAGGGCCTAGAGATTTCTCCCTTGCCTTTTCCTTTTCTCTTTTTTTACTATTAGCTTTTTCAGAATGCCAACTCCTAGTGTCGCGGTACGGATGATCGGATGCCCGTACCGACAGATCATCGTGCTTCGATTGTGGATCACGACGCTTCAATTCACGCTTAGGTCCCTTCTTCGTTTTGTGACGAGCTTTCGGACTAGCAGCGGCACGCTTTACGCCGGTCCGCGTCTTGGAGGAGATATGAGTGGTACTCAGCGTCACGCTACTATTATCCTGAGGCTTTCTTCTTCTCGATTTGCATCTCGGTTCACCGCAAGGACCCACCTCCGAGTCCATCAGCACGGGCGACGTGACTTCCAGTTCCTTCTGTTTGTCCGTTTTCTCGTCCTTCTTCTCCTCCTTCTTTCTATGTTTCACGGGCGCAGTTGTTAAACCGGCCTCCGGTAAAACAGGTATAGCCTCGCGGACAATTCCTAACCGAGGTGGCACGATTCCTCGAGTAATCGGAGGTGAATAAGGAGCAACGTGAGGACGCATATCGTCGATAAGTTTGATGCTACAGGGAGCGGTGCATGCAGGAGTTGCTGCTTGTGTTGCTGCTACTTGCAGAATCCCGTGTGGTGACTTTTTCTTTAGTGCTGGTCGATCCGGAGGCACGTAATCTTTATCGATGTCTCTGCCGAAATAAGGACTTTCCGATGGATCCATTAAACCGAGTCCTGGTAATCCTGGCACTTTCCCAATCGAATCCACAAAATCTTGCGCGTCTCTGAACGCTCGAATCAGACAGTCTATCCCTGGGCACGGTGATTTCATACATTTTGCAGCTCCTCTAGGAAATTTCGCATCTTTTCCAGGACAAATGCAAGTTGGAGTTGCTCCAGTGGACGTTATACGAGGCGTACAAGCATCGAAAATGGGCACCACGTCATTATCTCTGAATGTTGCTTTTCGCGGCAGAACTGGCACTGGGCTACCTGAACAACTGCAGTTGGACATATCTTTCTCCTCACCGCCACCTACCAATCGAGTTCCCATATTATGCTTCTCATCGTACCAAGCGTAATCAACATCGTAGTCAATCCACCTAAAAGTAATCGGATCTATGTAAATTTGCTCTACATCTCCACCGCCTTTCAACCTAGATGGTTTATTGCATGGAGAATCCTGCTTCAGCGTGTGCAATGCAGGCAGAAAATCGTTCACGCAGTAAGTGTTGGATAATGTGTCTTCGACGCGTTTATTTCCTTCTTTGGATAATATATCGGGATTCCTTAATTTCGTACAATAAGTACAACCTGAGGGACAAATCATTGGATGTGTCGAACGATCTTTGGGTAGGCAATAGCACGTTGGCTCATTTGGATAGGCACTGTATATCATTTCTCGGTATTTAGGATCGTTGAGTTTCTCAGCCGTAGTTAGAGTCTTAAAAGCAGGATGTCCCATTGGAATTCGTGGAGGAGACTCTGGTCGTTTTAATAAAGGTTTATCCGCGGCATTCTCATCTTTCGAGTCTTTTTCAAATTTTGAACTTTTCGGGAAAATGTAAGGGCATAAGAATTTCTGAAGCGGTGAATCCTCCAACATAAAGGATTTCCCGTTTAAAGAGAATTGCTCGACAATGGCGCTCCCAAAACACGATAATCTTAAAATTACCATTATTTTAGCACACGTTTCTCCATTAGAATCGGTTATATCAAACGAATTTTTAACTATACACGGTGCAGATAGATCGTTACTGTTATTTTGCGTAGCAATCACTTGCTTGCACATGCAAGCGGGCAAAGACAATTTTGCTGTTCCCAAAAAGGCACCATTTTTATTCGAGCAAGCAACGTCTTTACGATACAAGTCTAAATACACAGGTGACCATCTTATGGCTCTGATAAGACAACTAGGCGTTTTGGCGAACAAACACGATTTTCTAAATTCAACATTTTCAGATGATCCATGACCCTGATCAACAGCTTCTTTTCTTTGAGGGACGCTTATCTCATATTCTGGCAAATCGACGAATCTCACGCGTACAAGCAAATCTTTAACATTGATATCTGGAACTTCAGGATTTAAAGTCACTTGATCGACGAACACCTCGAGCATGTAGAGCTGTTCTTCTTTGGATTTTATGATCTCGTCTTTCAGGGCCATTTTTCGTTCTGTCCTGCTCGGAATTCGTCGCACGAGAATTTGGAAAGAAAGTCGCGAACTCGCGGGAACTTCTGGAGAGATTTTTAGCCAAGACGCGCCATTAATTTTGGGTCGTTTTTATGGTCTAACCACACAAATCGGTCAGTTTTGTATTTAACGAGTCTTTAATGATCACCATGGTAACTCATATTAACAGAATTTCTTGTATATCAAGTGATCATTTTATAAGTTCCTTGAAAATCGTCATCTGCCTCTCCTACGCTTTTTATCTCCTTTTCCCGCTTTCTTCTTTGGTGGTTTTTCTTTTACCTTTCCTTTCAATTCATCCAGAGTCGTTCTATCTGGATACTCCGAAATATCCCTGGCAACGCCTTCCTCATAACTAGGTGGTACCAAGCGTCTAACACAGAACTCTCTTTCTTGATCCTTATTTCTGAAGGCAAAGAACTTAGGATGAAGCTCATAGTGGGTCATGATCGATCGACCGAAGCATGACATCCTCATTTCCACTTCCACCGTACCCGATGGGTTTTCACCAGGATCTAGTAGATTGAAGCTACCTTTTACCTTAAACGGTTTCGGCAGATTTTCCGGATCATTTTGAGCCATCGCTACTTGATCGCATAAACATCCAGGTAATGTTATTTCGGTTTCAGCAATGGGATACGTGTCACCGACACGAAACACACCGACCTTTGTCATCCTGGATTGTAATTCCCTTACCAGGTCCTTTGGTTCCTTGATAAACAGACAACTTCTACCTATCATGAAGTAAAAGGTACCATCTTCGGTGGGAGGTGGTGGTTTCACCGAGTAAAAGTCTTGGCGCGTGATTTCGAACGTGGGGAAATCGAGGAACGAGATCTTCACCGCGATTGGATGTTCACCGATGTCTTTGAGTTTACTTTGTGTCAACGTTAACTTGTGAATCAGCATTTCGACCATATAGATTTGGTGATCGCGGCCACCGAAACAGGACATCTTGGATGTGAAGGTAAGATTTTGAAGGTAATCAGTCGATACTAGGAATTTTTAGAGGTTCGATACGTCGAGAGTAAATGACAGATCTCGAGTGTGTAACAGTCGAATCGCGAGTATGATATATGGTTGATGACATCGAGTGATTCATGTATGTATTTGATCTTACGAATTCCTAGCATCATCGAGTTAACGCACCGATGGATTATCTATTACGATAATTTTCTCCAAGGGGAATCTAAACACCGATACACAACGACTTTCTTCCTATATCTCGCTTCCGTGTCTATAGATATCCCATCATCAGTCTACCGATAAAAATCGCATCGACGTACAGTCACGTATATCCCATCTAGCATACGCGACCGTACAGCGTCTCTAATTCCATTGGCAGTTATTACTTAGCTCCCACAGTGATGTATACTTAATCTTGCGCCACGAAACAGCCTGCCAGAACCGTTACGAAAATCTAAAAGAAAGTTGCAAAACCGTCCCTTTTTCCGCTATTCGCGCGATAGTCCCGCTACTCGGTGTCGTCGAGTATATCCATAACCTCTGGGTAATCTCTTTTCCTTTTTAACTTCATCCCTATTCTTTTTCGTTTTCTTCTTTCCCCTTCTCATCCCTATTTCTTTTTTCATGACTAATCGTTTAAACCTATTTGCAAACAGGCCTATCGTCTACTGCCCGTTACAACCTGTCACAAGAATCGCGTGATAGTTTCCTCTCTCAGAAGATACCGAAACGTGGAGCAACAACTTTGAAACGGTTCGTCCCATTCCGTGGCCGCGGTTTCTGTTCTGGACTCTGGCCACCGAAAGCGACCGACAGCTCCAACGTTGGCCCAGCCGAACACCGAGGGCCAAAGTATGCGCTAATTGGTACGGGCGCGCGCGCGCGCACACACACACACATGCGTGTATAAAAGAAGACTCGAGTCCTATGTAAAGACCGAGACAGCCAGAAAAGGGCGACTCAGTCGTATGGACAAGGAAAAGAAGGCTTGTAAAACGAGAGCGAAGAGAGGAGAGATATCGTGAACACGCTGTGGCCTCTGGTTCGGAGGAGACGCTTGGAAGCTGACCAGGCAGAAGTAAAATTCCAGGCCGGGCGACACGGCGGCTCGTTAAAATGCTTCTGGGGGTTTCGGGCGCGGGACGCTCCAGGTAATTGGCGATTAGCGATTAAAACGAACGAACGTCTTTTTCTCTCTTTCTATGCTGTTCGGACGGCATCCTCTCCTTGTTCACTCTTGTCACTGCTCTTTTCTTCACTGTCTCCGGCCGTGTGGACAGAGTAACGTTCGTATAAAGCGCCTTTTATCGGCTCACCTTAGAACGAGAGGGGGGAAAAAAGACGATAAAAAGAGAGCCTCTGTGTAGATTGGCCGATTTTATCTTCTACCTGGCAACGATGACACTCGGCCGGGTCGTTTTTGAAACTTCTTTTCTCTGGTCGCGAGACCAGCGAGACAGGCGAAACAGGGAGAATGGCGTCCTTAATCGTGTGACTCGAGGCAACGATGATCACTTTCCGGACGGGATTCAGAGTCATTTCTTGCTCGTTCGCCTGGGAATCTGAACGGTCCGCAATCCGCGCGAACGATTACTGGCATCCGGATGACCGGAAATAAATACCGAACCGAGCGGACACTAATTTGATCGTATTTAGTCTGCGAAGAAGGCTTGTTAAGCCGAAAATTGGCCGCCCGATGTCCTCTGCTTTTAATTGCGCTTTATGACCGTGGTTATTAATTTTCGTATTGGTTTTTAGAACGGTATTAAAATTCTTACGATATTGCTTCTCGTATCGGCTTGTTTCCCGAAAAAGAAAAAAGTGATATTTATTTTTGCATCAGCGTAACAGCTAAAAAGGTGTTGGAAAAGGGTACTTCTCGGGTAATATTCTCTCTGTAGTTTATAAGAACACTTGGACGGTGCATAAACTGGAGAGTTAATTGGCTCGAAGTAAAAACACGTCTTACACTTCGATAAGTTACTGAGATCTTGTTAAGAGTTACACAAGATACTTATTTTCTCACGGACGAGCTTAAAAAGATCTTGGCGCTTATACCATATATCACGCCGTTATCAAATTTATAAGAATATCGTGAATAAATCGTAAAACAGAAACGTAATTCCATGTATTCAGCAACTTCGAAGATAATAAGTAATCGTTTCTGTAACCATACGATTCGAATTTCCTGGTACATTTTACCTTAGTCCTGGACTTCGATAAAGAAATTACACGCGATCGTTGTCCTTGTTACAGTATTAACTGCCGTTAAATCGTGGTGGAAACCAGGGGACGCTCACGCCTGCTATTTATCCAAGGTCTCTCGCGGGAACGCTTTTGTTCGCGGCTTGGTATCGACGATCGGAATTATATGGCGAAAACGGCGAGGCCGAGTGAAATTAAATGCCGCGCAGCCACTTAAGGACCGACCATTGTGATTTGCGATTTTTACCACGGTAGCGGTCTCTCGAAGCCGGCCAGGTTAATTTGCCTGCTCGTCGATAACCGTTATTTCGGCATTGCTCGAAAGTGGTTACCCTTGTCCCGATATCGGGATATTAGGATTAGTCATCGTACTAATCCGTGATGAGACTGTATACACGCAAACGATTGACTTTTATAAATATATGGGTAACGTTGATTATCATCCTCGAGGACATCGTTCGTCAATCTCGAACACTATAGACATGATTTATACATTTAATAGAACTTAGAACTAGCAAATCAGACTATTAACATATCTATTTCAACTAATTTCAACAGGACGTTTCAAAAAAAAAAAAAAGAAAAGAATAGTACACAGCTTTAGCCAGTTGTTCATACAAAGTATAATATTTTTTTACATTGGTTTCAATTTTTCTTCCCGTTTATATTTCAGTTAAGCAATTGTAAATGTCTAGCATTTTATCAGATTTTCTTGCAGAATCCTTATCACGTTCATAATACAGCTATCAGCAGATTAAGTATCTTTACGTCGTCCGATATCCAACGACGCATTCATTTATTCAGCGTCGAGAGGGATGTGTCGCGACGAAATAACTCGGCGGAGCCTTGACAGCGCGCGAAACAATCCCACGACATTATTTCCTTTGCAGAGCTCCTCGTTTCCAGTTGTTCTCGAGCGGTTGCACGCTGATGCGCGCGCGCGCGCGCGCGCGCCCACCGCTTCTATGTACTTGTTACAGTGCTGGCCGCTGTTCTGACTGGTGGGTTCATCGGCAATTTGAATAATTCTCTCTCGAAAGGAACGGTTTCTCATCTCGAATTCGCCTAACGTCCGATGTTTTTGTTGCACTGGCCAGCTCGCTCGCTATTTACCTCGGAATGCGAGTGTTTCTGCTCCACGCCACTTCGTAAATGTTCCATTCCCACGGGGAAAAGTCCGCGAAGTGGATGCTTCTACGTGACATCTGATTTTCATTTACCATGTAAGCTTTCCTCAATTCACAGTCTATCATCTAACGAACATTTCATTTACTTCCTCCGTATGTCATTTGTTGAAATTGATCTAGCGGAATTCTATCCAACAGAGCGACGTATTATATGGAATATCGCAGAATATCGCAGCCAAAAGGACAGAAGCAAACTGTCGGCTCTCCGAATCTCTCTGGCGATCGAAATATCGCGTGCAAGAGAGTTTCGAGTCCCTTTGGTTAAATCGAACCAGAGCGCTGATCCTCAGGTTCGCGGGACCTGGGAGACCCTCGTCTCCGATTTTCGATGATCTAGATCTGGGTAGCACCAGGAAGCCAGGACCGAAGGCAAAATTACCGGTGCCAGTGGAAGGAGGCCTCGTTCGCTCGCCTCGAGAGGTCAGAGGGCGATAGCGGTACCTTCTTCAGAACCAAGGAAGGCCTCATCCTCCACGTCCTACCACCTATCGTGCTAGTATGCACTGCACGCTCCAGTACGAGCGTTTCAGCTCGTGCTCGCGCGCGTTCATATACATGCGCATGCAGATTCTTTTGCACACACGAACCTGTTCATAGAGAGCTGGAGGCTGGAGAAAAGTGGTCGTGCAACGAATGCTAAAGGATGGCCGGCGGCGGCGGCAGCAGCGGACCAACTATACTCGAAGAGAAGCCAGAGAAGAAGATGCAAGGGGGACAGAAGATACCAGAGAACAAGGAAGAATCAACCGGGAGGATATTAGAAGGTACTCTCCCGCGGCGCTAGACGAAATTTGTCAAACAACCCGGCGGGCCCCAATTTGTTCTGCTGCGTGTCTTTACCACGATGAAAGAGCCGTAGGTGGTTCTCGAAGATCCTTTCGCTACACCGATCGGTGGATGGTCGTTATCGTTGCTACCAAGCGATCTTATTAGGTTATTAAATGCTCGAGGATTAATGCCATGTCTCTAACCTGCCCGATACATTTATAAATCTCCCGATGCCGATTCATTCTGTTGTTCGAAACACGCACGAAACAGACGTGCGCTACCGTGAAACGAATTAAAAATCTATGTCGTGTACTTATTCTTATCGTACATCGTTTAATCAAGATTCAAGTGGCACAACATCATCGAGTGTGTAATTAGCCGATGAAAATGAGCGAATATCATACGTGTAATATAGGCAATACACACACGTGCGTATACAGGGGCGTAACGCTTCGTGTTATTTCAATTTGCATGGTGGTGGGTAATCGCGTTCCCAGAACTAATTTAGCCGTATCGGACGCGGGACACGGTTCGTGATCGTAAGCCAGATAACACTGCAGATGATTATCAGACGGCGCGATTTCTTGCTCGCCGGAAACCGTAAGTAAACGCGCTAAGCTGCGCGTCAGATGGCAGTCACAAATTAACCGCCTATTATTTACCGCTTGACGGCTATTCAACATTGTAAACCTGAACCCGTTACAATTTCAAACGTTCGCCTGTGTGCTCAATTGTATGATAATTCTTCACGAAATACGGCGATGAAAAAAAAGGAGTAAAAAGTGGGAGAAATCGTTACGCAATTCACCATTCTTCTTCCCATTCATACGCAGGAAGAAAGAGAAAAAGAGATAGAGAGAGAGTACGTTGTAACACACTTGGAATATATCCAGCTGGAGATAACGTTCCCAGATTCTCATTCGATTGCGCCACAAATTAACAGAATTAACGAGCAACGCCGTGGCCAGTGACAACAGCCACTACACTGTTCGAGAGACGAGAAGATAATTGCGTTAAACCTGACGTTTCTTTTACGACGATCTTTCGTGGCTGGTTAACCCAGACGTGTAACAATCATTTTCGTCGGAGCGCACTTATCGGCGAAATGAACTCGGCTTGAGTTTTCATCTCAAGGTCAATCTGTACAGCCTCGCCTTCAAGGTAAGACTTTGTTCGTTCGTTTGAGACATGCAGGTGAACGAACCCCGTGTATCGCTCCTCTTTCTTTTTCAGAATTTTTAATTGAATGAAAATAAGTCCAGGGAAAATATTGAAAGATATTGACTGAGAAATCATTGCAACATATTGTCAAGTCCAGGACAGTAAATGGCATTGGAATAACTGTTCAGCGCAAAGAAAAGCAAATAGAAAATATTTGCATTTCTTTTAGGCAGTTTCACGCCATTCGATACCACAAGTCGGTTTTTGCCACGATTCAATTGATTCGTGGAAGATAACTGTTATGATCTCCACTCGTCGTTATCGTGCTTCCTCAGCGGAGAAGCTCCGCGTTTCTTTCCGTACCTTCGAAAGAATATCGAGAAGCTGATTATTTGCTTCACCAACGACGACCAATTTCCAACCAATCGCGTCGGAATTTTTTCGTTGTTGAGCTTCCTCGCTTTGAGAAACCTCGTGATCGTCGAGCAGCTCAAGATCTCAAGGATCTCGTAATGAAATTAGCTACTCGAGCACTTTTTCCAGAAACCAAGGACTTCCGTTCGACGGTCGTTCGAGTCTCTCGCGTAAATATATTCTAGAAATTATGCGGCCGCATCGGACCGTGTATGCACGTGCAGCTCGCGTTTAAATCGTGTAACCTATCGGAAAAGATCGTTACCAGGAACCATAAGAGCCTCGCATCGGCACGAGACACACAGGATGAATCTTCAAGAACCAGGTTAGCAACGACCGTTGAACGGCCGGTGAAGTGCAAGCCGGGGTCCAGAGACGAGAGGCAGTTTGCCAGAGAAAACGGCCCGAGCACCCACTTCGAGAACCTCTAAAACACTTTAAAGAGGAATGAAACTAGTCGTAAGGGAATATAGACTATCGTTGCCATCGTAACCAGAATGGCGCAAGCGGCACCATCGGCTGCGCCTCGGCTTGCAGAATACCTTATCCATTAGACTATTATTTAGACAATGTCTTAAAGGCTGATGCCTCGAACGATGCCACAGCCTGTAACTTTGCCAGCGGGCAACTTGTAATTTGAAAATTACCGCGGTACCCCTCGTGAAATTAAGCCGCGTGAAATTAATATATCCGATACGTTCGGATTATTTGAACAAATTGCGGTCGGGTTGTAACGTAACGATAACGGAACTCGTCGATGACACGACTTATTCCTACGTAGATACATTCCTACAGTTAGAAAGAAATAGCAGAACCGATGACAAAAATCATATCACGTAGCGCCATGAATTCCCCTGTCTACGGGCTCGTACGAAGTTAATTACAACCGCGAGTGTCGCTCCTAACGAGGCAGCCGCGACGAGACTCAAGTAAAGTCGAAGCACGGAGTTGGTATCTAAGAAATTCACATAACGCTGTGCGTTCGTCGATGAATGTACGATTAAATTCCGGTTACTAAATAGAAGTGGAACGTAAGTTAATCGTAGCCAAGAGAAATTAAGAGACTTGACTTAGCTGATAGGCTAAGGTACAAGGATTCTTTTCTCTCAGTGAAGTTATAGCATTCGTGGCCGTACGACGCCACACGATTCCCGCATGATTAAGCCAGTGACTAACAACTGACTAGAAGAATCATATGAAACTTCGTGTCTCACGTTCTGAAATGTCGATCTCGAAAAAGATCACAGTGGTCCTTTCGCGAATTACGTTCAATTATGTTCAATCGTCGGAACTGACAAAGAATCACTAACTGTGGAAAGATATTTTATTATTTTACTTCTTCCGTTCCGTTCCAAGTCAGAAACTATTTTCATACGAAACGTACGCACTCGATGATTTTACCTCATGTAGACAAGCCACGCAATTGCGAAAAAAAAACGTAGATAAGACATGAGAAAGCGTTTGAATATCAGATCTATTCCGTAACTCGTTTGCGATTAAGCTCTCCCGATCGCGGAGGTCGTGATCACGTTATACGTTCGATCTATGTATGGCGCTCGCCTTGAAAATCAGGGCAAGCCGCTTCTTCTCGCGGGAACGTCGCGAACCTACGCCGACATCTGCCTCACGAACAGTATATCAGAGCGTCCTCCTCTCTCACATTCCCAGGGACCCATTCCTTTCCTCGGCGTCAACCTCCGATCGAACATCCGAACCGGCGATAACCTAAATCTATCTGTTTGCAGCGAGAGATGCATCTATCTGGCGGGTGAAGTTAAGCCGTTCCATCGGGAACTTGCATTGGTCATCGTCTCGGGGTCTTCTGCTAACGAGAATGACTAAGAATAGACGACTACGAGAGAGATGCTGGACAGCTGCGACGCGGGGGAAGGCAACGAGACGCCGCGCCGGAGCTGAAGCCGAAGAGAAGAGCGAGTAGTAGGCAAAGGGAGCCGGGTTAGGTAAAGCACAATGGTAGGAGAGAAGGGAGGTAAAAATGTTTGGAGAAAAAGAGAAGGAGGGAAGGATAGGGAAGGGTGGGAGAGGAAGAAAGACGAAAGGTGAGTGGCGAAGGGGCAGGAAGGGAAGAGGGAGTGGACCACGTTGAGGTCGCGACCCGTAGCCCGCAGGCCCCAGTGAAAGGCCCAACGGCGATCCGCATCCGCGGGGCCCTGAGCGATCGAGACAGCCAACCTCACGAGAGACCGGGCGAAACCGAGACGAACGAGCGAGCAAGCGAGCGAGCGAGCCCTCTACCCAGGCACCGTGAGCCGTTTCTTAAGATCGCGTTCTTCTTAGCGAGCCCACTGCCATTATGGCGCACTTAAAGTGGCAATCGTGTGGAAGGCAGCACCGCCGTGGCAATAGCCACGAGTTGCGCAACCTTCGGTGACCCCACCCTGCGAAACCACACCGTGAATCGAGTCCTACGAAGAAGCAGCTAGTTCCATGTTCGATAACTAATAAATCGCTCATAACTAGACGGCGACGAGTGGCTGCGTTCTACGGGAGATTTGTAATAGAGACGATGCGAATGATTAATGCAATTTTAGGAAAAGAGTTGCGATAATTGTTTGCAAATAGTAAACACAATTTTCCAATACTTCTCTCGCTCTCTTAACCTCGAGACGATAAATGTAGGTAGCGCTGTTATTATAGTGTCTTGTCCCAACTTGGGAAAGTTTCTATTTTCTAACTGTAATCATAACACTAAACGTACCAATCGGGGTCAAATGACTTCTTTTCAAAATTTACTTTAAAATCGTACATTATCGTTGTTATT